AGTACCCATCAACACTGACATCTGAAGAAGGAATTGCAGAACTTAAAATTGTTTCACTGAGTGCAAGCAAGTCTGGTGAATTTTGCAGGAGGTAAGACTCAACTGATGGAAAGTTGCTTCGTAGACCGCGAATATTTGTAAAAGATATATTAAAATATTTAGGTGGTGGGGATGGTTTTTTAGATTTTAAATTTTTGGTTACTTTGGTCATGATTTGGATTTAATGAGAACTAGACTCATTCATAAATAGAGCACAGCCTCCTAATCAATGAGTTATGCAGTTGTCTCAGTCCTGTTAATTAACCCCACGCCGTGACATAGGGCTCCTTATGTGGCCTTGACAATGCACACCAAAAGCATTAACAGGGACACCATCCATGCGCAACATGGCACTGTTAATACTCTGATATTTTGCAGCTGTTGATGGAATCAGCCTCTCTGAGAGCGACCACAGAGTTCGGGAAACCTTACTACCAGCCGGCCTCAGAACCATTAAACTGAGTTTTAGAGCTGTACCCTCATATGGAGATAACAGGAAGAGGTGCATAGCCATTATCAAGGAGGCATAAGCAAAATTCTATGAATAGAGTCAAGGAGATCCAGCATTCATCATCCTAGGCAGGAAACAATGTAACACAGGTTACATCTACACCAGCCTAATAGATGAAGAAGGGGTTTGAGGCCGGTTAGCAGAATTTTTCTGCTTACCCCTAAAGTCTTTGCCTAGGAGGCCTTCTACAAGACAGTAGTAGGATGTAGTTAACATCTGCCCAAGATGAGTATTTTTATCGAGACACCATCTCTAGCCTTTACTCAACCAAGAGCCCCAAGGCAGGAGATGTTTAGCTGGATGCAGTTAACATCTCCCATGATGAGTGTTTTTATCAAGACACCATCTCTAGCCTTCACTCAACCAAAAGCCCCTAGGCAGGGGAATTTTTAGTAGGAGTTTATTTCTCCTAGCCGTTGCATAAGAAGAGCACACTCTGCAAGGCAGCAGGGTTTGTGGCAGGTGATACTGGGTTACGTGATACCAGTAGCAAGATTGATCTCGATTATCCTGACCTGACCTGGAGTAGTTAAAAGGAGTTACTTCCTGCAACAGTACTTTGAGAAAACCAGACATTTTGGAAGTGCATTAGGAAAAACACTGCATCTAACAAATTACAGGAGTCTAAGGTGAGTGTAGATTTTGTAGTTGGAGTAAGTAGTTAGTTACTGAGCTCACGCTGCATTAGAGTATAAACAGAACACAAACAAACATAAATCAACTTACGGCTGAGTCAACACCGCGCCAAAGGTTCAGACAGAACACAAACATACATAAAAAAACATAAAAAAACATAAACATAAACATAAAGTAACTTACGGGTGAGCGAACACCGCGCCAGAGGTTCAGACAGAACACAGACATACATAAAGAACATAAAGTAACTTACGGGTGAGCGAACACCGCGCCAGAGGTTCAGACAGAACACAAACATACATATAACGTAGATTACAGGTGAGCTAATACAGTAACTAAGGCACCTCCAACTATATGGAAAAAAAAAAAAAAAAAAAAATTACTATAGGCATGACTGATATAAGATAGTACTGATGACAGGAAGAACACTCCTTCCAGCCTTCGCTTAGATAGCAAATCCTGCAAGGCAGCAGAACATGGAACAGGTTGCACTGGGTTACATGTTACCAATAGCAGGATGATCATGAAGACCATACTCCTGACCTGACACATAATTGCATAAAACTGACCTGACACATAATTGCAAAAAACCAATTTGTAGAATTACAATATTACGCCAAAAAAAAAACATTGGCTAAATGTTGGCCCAATATAGCTAAAAAACATTGGCTAAATGTTGGCTAAATGTTGGCCCAATATAGTACGATATTTGCAAAAAACTGATTTGCAGAATTGAAAATAATATGTCGAAAAAAAATATTGGCTAAATGTTGGCCCAACGGAATAAACTTGCCAATGTTAAAACTTACGTTGGGCCAATGTAAACTTGCTGTCTTGGGAGTTCTCTCAGTACTAATTTTTTTATTAATTTGGAGAAATTTTTGTTAGATTTTTTCATTAGCAACCATATTTAACAACAAACATGATTTGTAATTAAAGCTAATTAAATGCTAGTATCTAAAATCTAGGGAAAATTTCTAAAAAATTAATAAAAAAATAAGTAACAACTTCAACAGTTATTTTACTCAAAAAATCAGAATGCTCAGATCAAATCTTTTAACACCCCAAACAAAGAAAAGCACATCAGATTAACACCCCAAACAAAGAAATGCACATCAGAATAACACCCCAAACAAAGAAAAGCACATCAGATTAACACCCCAAACAAAGAAAAGCACATCAGATTAACACCCCAAACAAAGAAAAGCACATCAGATTAACACCCCAAACAAAGAAAAGCACATCAGATTAACACCCCAAACAAAGAAAAGCACATCAGATTAACACCCCAAACAAAGAAATGCACATCAGAATAACACCCCAAACAAAGAAAAGCACATCAGATTAACACCCCAAACAAAGAAAAGCACATCAGATTATAATGGTCAGTTTTAAGGAAATTTTGATCCAACAACTTACGAAGAAATTTACAATATAGCCATGTCATTTGGAGTAAAATGTTCTCCAGATGATCCCATTCCAGCATATCTACTAAAAATAATTTACAAACATTTATACATATATGGGTGGAAATAGTAAACCTATTGCTAGAATCAAGCAACATGGATTGTCTAAAAAGTGCTGCATTACTTCCAATAATAAAGAAGTTAGATTCTGCCACCACAGATACAGAAAACTTCAAAAATTATAGACCAATTTCCAATTTAGTATTCATTAGCAAGCTAATAGAAAGAGTAGTTTCCAATCATCTAGATTCCCACATGACAACAAACAATCTTCATATAGAATATCAGTATGGATACATAAAACATCATTCCACTGAAACACTTTAGCTGAAGCTTACCAATGATATATTTGAACTCTTTGATAAGAATACACCTTCACTACTAATGTTACGTGATCTAAGTGCTGCTTTTGACACTATTGATCAACAAAAACTACTTGGGCTATTAACTAGTGAAACAGGCATAATGGACTCACAATGCTCACAAGTGGTTTGAATCATTTTTAGTTAATTGTACCCAAAATGTTAAAATTGGTAACTCATACTCTACAAACCAAAATGTCAAATATGGAGCACCGCAAGGTACAGTACTGGGTCCAAAACTATTTAATATCTATATGAGACCACTGTACAAACATCTGAACATAATCAATGTTAAAACTTTTGGATACTCAGATGATCATCAAACTCTAAAAGCATACCTTCCTTCTTTGCAATATAATGCATTAGTTCTGGATATACCAGAATGTCTAGGACACATATCTAAATGAATCATTCTTATGCATTAGCCAATCGAAAACAAAAATACTAATTATGGCACCACCTAACATTCAAAAAGATATTATTATTATTAAAGGTACTTTTTTTAACAAGGAATGCATTAGATTTAATGACTCCACAAAAAGTTTAGGTGTGATACTTGACAATGATCTGTCTTTGAAAACACAGATAAATAAGATTGTGAAAAGTTGTTACAATATAATCACCAAAATATCCAAAATAAAACAATTCTTATTGCATAAAGATTTGTGCATCATAGTATTTTCATTAATTTTTTCACAGCTAGATTATTGCAACTCCCTCTCCTTGGAATTGAGAGGTCACTATTAAAAAAACTGTAGTCTGTTCAAAATTGTGCAGCAAGACTAGTATTTAAAACCAGAATAGAAAATCCAATAAATAAACAGGTATTTATCAATTTGCATTGGCTTAAAATTAGAGAAAGAACTTATTTTAAGGTTTTATTAATAATGCACAAGTCTATTATCCAGGAAGCGCCATCATCATTGTGTAATTTGATTCACTTCTCAACATCAGAGAGAACTCTGAAATTAAAAGAAAAAAATCCAACAATTGTTTTGGTGATCAGGCGGTATCCCACTATGGTCCTAGACTTTGGAATATTCTTCTAAGTATCATTCGAGATGAAAAAAACACATTTATAAGAAAAAACTAAAATCATATTTAATGGTGAATAGCGAGCTATTCCACCAGAAAACTCTACAATATTAAAAATTATAAAGTAATATAATAATTTATTGCACAGCTGAGCAAGTGCTTTGCCAGCTTACCCTTTATTTGGGCAAAACACAGTAGCTGTAGGTAAAAAATATATAATATATATATATATATATATATATATATATATATATATATATATATATATATATATATATATATATATATATATATAATTATTGTTATTTTGCTATTTTTTCACAATAAAAGTTTGAAAATGTTTAAAGAGGATGAAAATATAAAAAAATTATCAAGTTATATTGTAAATAATTACATTAAAAATTTCATATTAATATTAAAATTTTATATTATTTTTTTAAATATTATTGATTAATGAATTGCTAATCTATTACAATCAACTTTCAAAACCATTTTTATTATTAGCCTATACTAGATAAATAAAAATTTAATTCAAATTTATTTTTATTCAAATTTCTAATCTAGAAGCAGTGTTTTATTTGACCATTTAAAAATATTTGATAAAAATTTTATTTTAATAAAAATTATTTCCTATATTATTTTCATAATAAAAGTATTTTCAAAACTTGTATGTAAAGTAGAATTCTTGACATCTTTTTTTTTTTCAACAATAAACTACATTTCTACTTTTGTTTTTACTAACTTTTGTTTAGGTTTACAAGAGTCTCAAAAAGATTTTTAATTTTCACTTTTCATTCAAATCATGCCATTTATTACTTTAAAATAAGCATAAAGGCAGAATGTTTAGCATTCTTTTTAGCAAAGATGAACATTTCTGATCTACTGTGTCTTAATTACAAAGCAGAAAATATAGCCTCTCATCTTTTATTGTAGAGATTTTATTTTATTTAGATTTTTGTGGTTTTGATTTGTACTTTTATAAAGTTTCCAGTGCATTTGCTGTTAGTAAAATTTTTTCGATCCATAAAGCCATTTCAAATTTCAAATGATAAAAATGACAGCTCATGTGATAAAAGTAATGGATGGAAGTCACCTACTCTCTCAGATAAGCGCAACAGTAAATTTGTTTAAGTATTTTGTTAATTTTTTTAGTTTTTTCAAATCAGTTTGTGGAGTCCTTTTATTTATTTTTATTTTTCATAGGTTTGAGCTCAAATCAAAAATCGACAGAAATTGTTGAAGAAAAAAATGCATCACTAAAAAAAAAAAAATTTTTACTGCCACATTGTTTTTTGTATGTAGCATGGTTTTTTTGTGTTGTAAACATTTTGGGTAGTGCTGTTGTTGTTTTGTTTTATGGAATGAGCTTTGGAAATAAAACATCATTAAATTGGTTAGCTACTGTAACTATTGATTTGGTATGTATTATTTTACATGTGTTATTTTATGTATGTGTTTTATACATTTACATAACTTACTTATGTGTTTACTGTATTCCAAAAATACAGAAAGTTCCAGAAATAGTACATAAAACATTTAATGGTAGTTTTGGAAATCTATAATTTAAAATTCCTTCATTGTTATAACAGTTATATGCCTTTGTATACTCCTATTTAAATATAAAAAGTTATGAAATATCAAAAAGTTAGTTAAAAAATATTTTTATTTCATTTTTATTATCTAAAAGTAAATAAAATAAATGTAATAAAAAATAAAATAAAAGTAAATCTGACAGTTAAAAAATATGAAGCTCAGTTATGAAATTATTATGATGATTTACATTGAGAATTTAAGATCAATTGAAAATCTAAGATTGTTAAAGGTTTAAGATCATTTAAGTTGGAGGTTTAAGATTGATTAAGGAAAATAATTTTGGAAACTAATGAAGATTATTTGTCTTTTGAAAAGCCAAGTTTTAAAATGAAATTCATCATTCCAAATTTAACAATCACATGCTTTAGTATAATTTTAAAAATATGAATAACCTTTGATCATGAAATTGCGCATCAAATATTTAACAGCATAGTATCAGCATAAAAATATAATATAAAGCAATATATGCATCACTGTAATGTTTCTATATATAATTTACTTTTTTTTTTAATAAAGCATATTAAGGAATGCTATTAAAGGATAGTATTTTGTTGAGGACAAAATTGTTAAAATATTCATTTTTATTACGTTTTGGCCATTTTTACGTTTTAAGACCGTAACTGTTAGAAAAAATATTTTCAAAAAATAGAAGTTTAATAAATAATTAATTCAACAAATTAGTTAAACAATAAATAAAGTTTGTCTACAGTAAAAAAAAAAACATACATTTTATTCCTTTAAAAAAAAACACAAGAGCCGAGAACCATTCAATTTTTGCGGCTCCAGCTCCACCAAAAAACAGTGGCTCCGGCTCGGCTACACAAGCCTAGTTACAAATGAGACAACATCTGTTTTCAACTTTTTTATGAAATATTTTTTTTACTTGATATAGATGAAAAAAGTAAAATAAAATTTATTGTTTTTTTTTTTGAGAAAACAAAATTTTTGATATTCAACTAGAACTAATTTGTGTCCTCATCATCATCATCATCATCATCATCATCATCATCATCATCATCATCATCATCATCATTGTCATCATCATCATCATCGTCATTATCGAATAAATGTCTCATTGTTTATTTTGAATAAGTCTTTGTTTATTTTGAATAAGTCATCTTGGTGATTAATGTTAAGCATTTTTGTGATTCTTTTTTTAGGTTAAAGAGGTTTTCATCACCGAACCAATAAAATTATTTGTTTTTGCAGTTTTTTTTGCACTTTTCATTAAAAATATTAAAGAAGAAGAAACTGATTTTCAGACACAAGGTACTTAATTAATGTTTTAAACTTATTTTAGTATGTTTTTTATTTTACACAACTTTAGCTTGGGAAAAACGTTTTAAAGTTATATATTAAACTATTGAATACCATAAATTTATAAATAAATACCTTATTTAAAAATTTGTTTTAAATAAGGTATTTATATAAAAGTTTATGGTATACAATAAAAAAAAATAAAAACAATAAATTTTTAAAAAACCTGTATTTATTTAAAAATTTAAATTTCTAAATAAGTACAGGTTTTTTTATGTTTTTTTTTTTAACTTTACCAATGTTGTCTTCTCTAAGTGGGATATCCTTATAAATTCATGTACTTGAAATGATTTTTGCAAACTGTATGACCTTCACTAATCACTCGTTGATAACAAAACTTGTTGAGACAATAATTTTTTTTTGGAATCAATTAAAAGATAGAATAGGTGGTGGTGTAGTAGGTGTAGGTGGTGGGAGCATATTCAAATTATTTTTGGATTTTATTTATGCATAGAATAGTATTCTAAATAATGTCATTTATATTTCTTAAAATGACTTTTGCTTTTTAATTTTGAAGGTAAAATGTTGGCCCTTGACGAAAATTGGCTTCACAAACCGAAACACGAACAATCTATTTTTGATCGAAAAGATATAGAAATGCAACCACTTAATGCTTCTATAATATTAGAGATGAGAGATTTACGGATTAAGAACCTCAAGATGTACTCTTTAATAAAGGAGTTGGCTTTATATATGTTTTATGCTTTTTTGGTGATGTTTATAGGATTTTCAACACGCAAAAATGTTGCTTTTCACCAAACTCGCAATGTTCAAGATCTTTTTAATCTAACACTTAGAAGGGTTCCATGGCCAAGAGATTACAGTAAAATTTTTGGCCAGGTTAGTTTATGTATAATTATTGAAAAAAAAAGCATAAAAATAAAATAAAATGTTTTGGAAAAAGTTAATTTAATGACATATTTAAAAACGGTAAACAAATTTTGTTAGTATTATTAGTAAAGAAATGAAATAAAATCTTTATATGGTAAAGAGGTTTTTCACTTTTTCTCTTTTTACACAGCATCATTTCCCTGCCTCAGTTTTCCATTATAAGTTTTTAGAACCTAAATTAAATTAGTGTTTTTCCAATAATTTTAAATTACTTTAGTAAATTCAAATAATTTTTGTTTGTGTTAAACAAGCAGAAAATTGATTTTTCAAAAAATATTTACATACGTTGCCCAGTTTTTAATTTTGTTTAAAAATAAATAAATGTTATCTTATATACTTTTATACATTTTAATTTATTTTTTACCAATTTTGCAGAGTTTTGTTAAATGCAATCCAATTGGCTCAAAAAAACTTTTGTTTATATTAGTTTTGTTTAGTGTATTATTTACAACATTCAGTTGGAGAGGTCCAAAATTATATACTTTTTATTTAATCATTTATACTTAATTAGTTTTTTTAAAAAGTTCAAAAAACATTTTAGTTTTGGCTAATTTTTTATGGTTGGGCTTCTACTTCTATTTTCAACATTTTAAAGATATTAAGAAAATTTAAAATTAGAAATCTTTGCAGCGCATTCTTGCATGTAAAGTTATGCAACTTTATATTAAAATTTATGCAATTTAAATTTTTATTGGATAAATTAAAATTAAAATGAATAAAAATTGTATTTAAACAGAAAAAAGATTTATTTAGTGAAAAAATTTGTTTTCACTAAATATACTACTGATTAATATATATATATATATATATATATATATATATATATATATATATATATATATATATATATATATATATATATATATATATTATATTTAAAATATATATATTATATTAAATATATATTACTGATTAAAATATTGCAAAAAGTATCAGACTAGTTTTAAATCATAATTAATAAACTTTCTAATCTCCTAGTAGTTAACAAATTTTATCATACAAAGTTAAATCATTAATATATCTCCCAATAGAACCAGTATATTCCTGCTATAAAAAAAAAACTATTTAGAAAAATATCCTCTTGTTGAATTCAATTAAAAATATATATTATTAATTAAATTTATATCAATGGTTTGTTTTATGTTTTAATACCAGGAAGTAATTAATTATTATTTGTTATGTTATTTGAAGTAATTAATTATTATTTGTTTGTTATTTGAAGGAATTAAGAACCAGGGTTCAAAGCTATAGAAAAAAGTTGTTTTGTGCTATCGTTTTATGCCATCTTTTTCTTTTTCAGTCATCCTCAAGATCATCAGGTATAGAACATCTGCCTTGAACCTTAAGAACAAGCTATTTTTATTGACTAAATAAGTTACTAAAATTTTTAATTTTTTATGTATATAAAATTTATTTTTCCCTCAAAACAAAAGTTATTTATAATTTACTTTAACTGTACCTTTGTTCACGACAGGCTCTAGGTTGATAAAAAATGAAATTCTGGTACATCTTCTCTTAAATAAACAACTAATTCACAAAATTTTTTTTAGTATCCTCTGTTAAATGTCTGTTTGGTTATTTCTTGCCAAACTCTAGTGCCTTCTTTGCAATGTTGTACAACAATGATCCAATCTAAAGATTCATTCCAAATTTTTCCAGGGTTTCTGCAATTTTAATAACAGTGCTTTCCTGGGCACCTTAGTTTTCTCATCAATAAGTTCCACCATAAAATGAGAGATGTGTAACTCCAACATGTGTTTCCTGCAGAAAAACCATTGCATCAGAATCTTGAAGATAATTGTGAGTAAAGTATTGTCTTTAACAAATACTTCAGTGTTAGAAGCAGTGGTATTGTAAGCAAATATCAAAGATCTGATCAACAATGTCATAATTCTCTAAGAGATTAAAGATCACATTTTTTTGTCAAATTCTTCGGAGCTTTCAGCTTGTAACATTCTAATAAGGATGTCATTTTTGTCATCAATATCTGAAGATGTAACGCTAATATAAAACAGTAATATTTAGATTTTCCTCTAATCTTTTTGCTGTAAAAATGCAGAAAAGGCTGCTTTCAATTCAAGGTTTGCATTATATTTTGTCTTATCTGGTATCCTATTAGTTAAAATAATTTTATTTATGTAATTAATTTTTTTTTATCCTAGTTTTTCATTTAATTACTTATTCTTATCTATATCTTCTTCTTGAATCTCTTGGCGGACAGAGCTTTTAGAGATAAAGCACATTTCCAATATTTATTCCGGCTTTATTTCAAATTAGTGCAATGATTACGCTTTGAGCCAATGTATTATCATTATTTAAGTAATAGTTATAGCAATAGTAATAATAATTATCGAAAATTTCTAATCTAACTGAGTCCAATTAAGTTTAGTCTACTTAAAATTGAACCAACTTTAGATTTTATTATAAATTCTTGTTTACCTTGGCTTTTACTTTAGAATCAGAGCTTTTACTTTTTCTGTAGAATCAGTGTTTTGAAGTCATTTACAGAATTCTCATATATGAAAACTACAGCTTCTAAATCAGCTTTAAAAGAAACATCAAGTTCACTTAAAACCATTTTCTTTTTTATTTTTCTCTACTTCTGTACTTAAGGTTCTTCATTCTCAGCTACCAATCCCATCATTCTCAGCTGCCAATCCTATTTAAGCATATTTCTGAGCCAATTTAAAATTTTCATAAGCATACTTAAAACTATTTCATAACTATACTTAAAACTATTTAATACTTAAAACTATTTCATATTTTACATTTTTTATAACATATTCATGTTATAAAAAATATAAAATAATACATTTGATACATGCATGTATCATGTGATATACAATGATGTCTGTAATACATGCTTATAAAAATGTAAGCATGTATAACATAAATTTATATATAAAATTATTAATTATAAAATTATTTAATATCATCAATAAGTTTATTTTAAAAAAATGAGATAAAGTATTTTTACAAATTAGACAAATATTGGCGTAACGGATATTTTTAAAAAATTGAATTTTTTCTAATTTAACAGATTCCACTTTTTGACAACTAATTTTTTTGTTTGTTCATTGCGATTCTTTTTGACCTCAGGTGACTTCATAGAACAGGATAAACTTAAGAGGTATCTTGAAAATAAAACTATGTTTTAGGAACATCCTTTTTTACCATACTTTATTCTTGGGATCAGTTTTAAAATTCAAATCAAACTCTTATTTTAAATTTTCCTAGATACCAGCTTTTTTCAAAAAAATTCCTTCCAAATTTGTTTTGACAAATGGTTGGTGTTAATTAAAAAGTCATCAAAAAGTTTTGGTATTAAAAAAAAAAAAGTTTTTAAGTTTAAGACAAACTTCAATGGTGTTTTTTAAAAAAACTGATAAAAAAAGTTTTAAAAAAGACAGTTCAATTAATTCGGTTTATTTATCAATAATGATTTAGAAAAATGGTAGGTTTTTATTGACTTCAAATTGAATTTAAAGATATGTGTCTAAAATTACATTTCTCAGATAATATGTATTCCTATTCCTTAGAATGATATATAGATATATAGTTCTATTCCTTTGAATGATCATTACAATATAAAAAAATTGACAATTTTTTTTTGCAGTCTAGTTGTGTTGTGTACACAGCTGTTTTGTTCCATTTTAGATTCTCTTATTTTCAAATATGTTTGGTACGGGAAAAGATAAACTAAAACTATTTGTCTTAATCTTAAGTATACATACGTAGACAATATTTTACAAATAATATGTATATATATATATATATATATATATATATATATATATAATATATATATATATATATATATATATATATATATATATTTATAAATGCAGGAATATATATTCTACATGACTGTCATACTGAAAGAGGTAAAAGATCAAGAAATTCCTAGGTCAAAGTTTCTGTAAACAACAAGAAATTTTTAAAAAATAAACATCTACATATATAAAAATAACTGTTATCGAAAAGCAATATCATTTTGATTATTATATTTTTGATTATTTTGATTATTATGCTTTTCTTTTTTTTAATGTGTTTGTGATAAAACTAGTTATATATACATGCTCATTTTTAAAATTTTATATAACAGAATTTGTTGTTAACATATATTTAAATTTGCACATTAAACATATTGAAATAATTATTTATTAGATTCAAGCTACACCAGATTTTTGGAATTGGATGGACGAATTTTTTTTACCTCAAGTTTTTCCTGAACCCTGGTATAAATTGAGTGATTTTTATGCTAATTCGGATAAGAAAGATTTCCCTGGAAAGTTGTTTTTAAACGATCTCAATTCTAAGATTGTGAATGGAATCAGAATTCGGCAAGTTCGTGTGCAACCAAGTAAAAGATTTTTCGCATAAATAATTTTGTTAACAGGAAGAAAATTATTATAAAAATTTGATGTGCAGCCATTTTTAAATTAGTGGTAACATGTATAATTTGCACCTTTAAAATGCATAAATTTAATAAAATAAAGTTAATGGGTCTAAGTTGGTTAAAATTGATATAAGAAAGTTATTTGTAAATTTAAATAAAGTTTACTTTATATAACTCAGACCTTCTTTTTTTTTCTTCCATTTGATGTTTCATTTAACATTTATAAATGTTTATTTTAAAAGTTTTATATCTGGAAAATTAACTAATTAAATTAACTAAATGTTTTTTTTTACTTGCGCTAGATTCTTGTGTAAAAACGAAATCAGTTGCTCAGTTTATCAAGGTTAACTGTATGTCTTCTTATGAATCTACTCTTGAAGAAACAGGAAATTTTTATTTAAATTGGACAGTTCCACTGTTGCATAAATCTGACATTAATCCTTTAACTAAACCATGGAGGTACCAAACTTGGAAAGAACTTGATGGGTATCCATATGCAGCAAAGTTAGAAACTTACTATGGTGGTGGTTATGTTGTAGAAATTTTCCCAAAATGGAAAAACAAGGCTATAATAGATCAGGTCAAGAATCTCAGATGGATTGATAGACAAACGCGAGCTATATTAATTGAGTTTGCTTTGTTTAATGCTGCTACTAATTATATTAACATGGTCACAATGGTTTTAGAGTTCCCTGCTTCTGGTGGAGTTATTCCTACTTTTTGCATTTTGACTTTTAGATTGTATTCTGGTACAAGAGAAATGTTGATTTCTCATTTTTTTTTTATTTTAATGACAATATTATTTACTGTTCGTGAATGTCGATTTTTATATCGAGTTGGTTGTAAATATTTTGTTGAGTTTTGGAATTTGGTGGAAGTTGCATTGATACTGCTTTCTGTTATTGAAGTTGTTTTTTTTTTTTACAAAGGTATTTTATTTTATTTGTTTTAATTTTTAATTTATTTTATCAATTTTATTTCTTTTTGTTTTCACACTATTAAAGATAATGTTTTTTATAAATATATTCAGAATCTAAAATATTTTTAAAGCTTTTTGTTTTTCCATCTAAAGGGTTTTTCAAATTGAAAACATAAACTCAAATGTTCTCTAACAATCTTTGTGCAGAAAAGTATTAAAAAACACAATAAATCCGCCAAATCTACGAACAACTAATTCTATTGGTTCAAAAAATACTAACCGAAATTTCTAATAATAAATAATTAATAATATTTAAAGTTAATACAAATAATTTTAACCACTAATCCATTTTCCTCAGTGTACCTGGTAACTGATTCTTTCTCCCAAGAAAGAAAAGTTTTTAAGTTCTTAGATATTGGTTTACTAACTTCAATTATTTTTGCTTCAGCCATTCTTACAAACTTGTTATACTTAAACTTGAAGTTACTTTTTTCTGTTTTAAATATTAATTAAAATTATAAAGCCCACTCAATAAACATCATCAGTGTTATTATGAAGCAGTTCTGCTTCCTCCTCACATAGTAATTTAACGTTTTTGGTTAATTTCTATTTAGCTAATTGAATTTCTACATTAACTCAATGATTTAATTATTTTATTTGTTCATCTTACAAAGAAAAATTGTTTTAAATGTGTTAAACTTTTCAAACTATGCAAAGAATAAAACAGTTATTGAAAAAACTTTTTTATTAATAAATAAATCACCTTGCGTTAGTTTTATTGGTTGAATTTTGTTGGACTTTTCAGGGCCAGGGACTGCATTATTTTGGCAGCCTTTTTTATGTGCCACAGCGTAAAAATGACTGAAAAAAACACCGAATGGTCCTCTTGACTATTTCGTGGCCCCTAACATTGTGAGTCCCAAGGCTATTGTTCTTCTAATTCCCCACCCCCCACCCACCATCTCCTCAATCCAGCACTGTAAATTAGACATAAGTATATAAATAAAAATTATATATACTCTTTGATAAATCGGAGAACATTTGTTACCTTATTAAACAATCATTAATAATAAGTTGTTACTTTATATAAAAAATGTGACTTTTTATATAAAGTTTTATAAAAAAATTTATAAAAAAAATATTTGCTCTAATCATATTTATTTTGCCTAAAAAATTTTTGCGTTAAAAGCTATTTTTCTTTTTTTAACTGTCTCTCATCGGTCCAGTTAATCTTTTTGCGATTTTTTGTTTGTTTTTGAAATGTTCACAAAACGACTAAAAAATCTGGCCGGTTTTTTGCAACTAAATATTTTTTCGCAACCAAAAAGTTTAATGAGAAATTATGATTTTAACTTTTAAATCTTTTTTCGCAACTAAATATTATTTCTGTGGTCAATTATCAAGTGCAATTGCACCCGCTTCCTGACCAAGCCTGTACATATATATATATATATATATATATATATATATATATATATATATATATATATATATATATATATATATATATATATATATATATATAAAAGTTTACACTGAGTATCAAATATTATTAATATTCAAACTTATATTTTACTGAAGTGCGTTTTTTGGCTATATATTTAGAATGTACTAAAATAATACCTGTATAAGATATATATAAAATGTGTTTGAGTACTTTCCAGATATTTCAAGAAATATATTTACTATTTTTTTGGATATGGTCTGGAGGTTCATTGATAAATAGTTTTTTTTTGTATCATAATTTTTTTATTTTCTTTATTTACTTTTTTAGTTTGTGTTTTTTATCCATCATCTTTTATAGATAATATTCTTGGTCTAAATATGTCACTTATATAAAATGGAAACACATTCCATTTACCAAAAATGACAAAATTAAAATACAACTATTATGTCTAGGAAAAAATCAAATTTTTTTTTTTTAATTTTTTATTACTTATAAAAGCTAAACTACATCATTCTGGAAACTTTGATTTTCAAAGCATGTAAAATTTATACTTTTTAAGAAAATCACTTTACTTAAAAAACAACAGTTTTTTAATTAGATACTAATAAATAATTTCTAACAAACAATAGTCTAAAATTTTAACAAATGTTTATTGCTGACATCAAAAAGTTCTTAAGCTTACTCTGGGTGGCCAATTTCTTAAATAATTTTTTGCCAGTTAGTATTGAACAAATGAAGAACTGATTCAGCAGTCTGCTCACTGTAGAGACCTAATGGGTATATCATTAATTCGATAAAGTCTTTGATGTAATGAAAATTGCATTCAACTTCGAGGATATGGCTGTAATATAACAATTCTATATTAGAGTTCTTACAAAGTATTTTTTACAAAGTCCTCCTCCAGAGTTATCTCAGAGCATAAACTAATTACAGTCTAAAGCATTTATTGAATTCAAAAAAAACGGAAGACTAAATCTAGCTCTGCCATAGTCTAAAGAAAATCCATATTGTTTAGTAATTTTTAACATTGATTTACAGAAATTAACATGATACAGGTCTTTTTCTGAATGTGGAGTGCTGCTCTTCATTGCTGTGCTATTGATTAGACATTTTTTATTGCTCTGAATGAGTTATAAATTAACAAAAATAAAAAAAGAGGTGCAGCTCCATTAGTGGGATGATTTCTAAAATCATTGTATAAAAAATAAATCAATTTATAGTTCTGGTAGTAGGTAAAATGCAGACATTTTTGCAAACCATAAATCTATTAGTTGCTAAATTATAATTAATTTGAAAGAAAACAGTCTAATTTAAATAAATATATCGAATACCATTATATTTAATTTAAAAAATTGATGAGCAATTGTTTTTTAAATATCATAACTGTTGTGGTTATTAAAATGTCTTGGTTTACAAAAAAGTTTGCATTTTACTGACTACCTAAAGTTCTAGCCTTTTGGTTAATAATTACTTTACTATACTTTAGAAGTTATTTAGTATTTTTACTTTTTACATTATTACTTATTTACTTCAATATTTTTTACATAATAAAAGTATCTTTATCATATAAGACAGTTGCATAACATTTCTAAGTTGCGTAACATGTTTTCAGGTGTTTTTTGAAACTCAGGCTTTGATAATAATATTTTAACCCTCTCATTAAAATTTATTTAAACAGGTGATAAAAATATAAACGGTTTCCATTCATATATAAAAAGATAACGTAAACATAAAAAATAAAGCAAAAATAGCCAATATATCAATTCAAAACAATAATTCCAAAGATAAAAAGTATAAAAACACCCTATAAATAAAATTTCGGACAAATTTTAATTACATTTATTATGTTATTTATTTCATGCATGCAGAAAACCTTTATACTTATTTGAAAGAGGATTTTATAATCTATAAATTATACCTTGCAGCAAATTCTCTTGTCGTTTTTGTTATTCCATCCGCTGATAGTTTATTAGATCTTTTTTTTTTCTAGTTAATGGTACAAGGATATCCTTGTACTAATAAATTTTACTTAAGTAAGTAACCATTAATTACTTTAAATTGAATCATAAAAAGAGATTTATGCTAGTAAGTAAAATTTAAATCAAAATTTTTTAAGTTTTAATGTTTGTTCAAATAAATCCTTATTGAAAGATTTTGTGGTCAAGTTCTCAAAAAAAAATTAATCATTACAAGAAAACTATTGAAAGACTTTGTAGTCAAATTCTCAAAAAAAAAAATTAATCATTACAAGAAAACTATTGAAAGATTTTGTGGTCAAATTCTCAAAGAAAAAAATTAATTATTACAAGAAAACTACTAAAGTTACAAATACTTTTACTTTTTTCATAAAATGTACTAATAATATAATATTGCACTGATTTTAAATTTTAGTTATTTGATTCAGTTCATGGTCCCTGTATAATAAAGCAATGTTTTTGCTTTATTATACACAACTAAATAAATCTAATTTTGAATACATTAAGAATGCTGTTATTTGTTCAATTGAGTTCAAAAAGATTTTTCAATTTTATAATTTTTTGTTAACAACAAGTTAATTATTTTTACCCTATTTAGGTGGCTTTTTTAGGTCATTACCTTGGTCAATATGCTCAAAATAAGAGTCATTCTATTGACTTATAATAGTTAGGTAAGGTTTTGATTTAAGTAAATAAGTTTATTTTTAAGTAAGTTTTAAAAAATTTTTATTTTTTGAAAACAGATCATCTGGTCAAATTGTTATTAGAGCGAATGCCAGCTAAGAAACCACAAGTATTTATCAACTTTCAGTTTGCTTCTTACTGGGACCTGACACATATATACATTGTATCTTTAATTGTTTTTTTTGTAACTTTGAAGTTTATTAAATTATTGCGTTTTAATCGTCATATTTCACTGTTATCTTCAACTTTAAAAGCTGCATGGTATCCTCTATCAATGTTTTTCATTATGTTTTCTATTGTTATGTGCTCTGTGGTAACCACATCTAGTATTGTTTTTGGTAAAAAAAAATTTGTTTTTAAATCTATTTTGCTTTAACATATATACTTATTTTTGCAAATAAAAAAATATATATATATATATATATAAAAATATATATATATATATATATATATATATATGTATATATATAATTTATATTTGTATATATATATATATATATATATATATATATATATATATATATATATATATATATATATATATATACTCATATAGTGTCGCTTTAAGAGCATTTTAATGTAAAAAAAGTCTCTTACGACTACAATTTTAATTACCTCGTCTCTTAAGCTGTTTTTGATTGTCATCGAAATGTCAAAGCAATTAATTTATGCGGAAGTACATTAAATTTAATTGTTTTTTAAAAAATTTTTAAAAAACCGCAATTATAACGACTAGAAAGTTTTTTTTAATTAGTGGTGTTTTTGTTATTGATTTAATAAAAAACATTTTTTAAACATGCGTAAATGTTGCTACATCGACTATCTTATAGCCTGACTCGCAACGGAGTGCTGCTACATCGACTGACAAATAGCCTGACTTGCAACGGAGTGCTGCTACATCGACTGACAAATAGCCTGACTCGCAACGGAGTGCTGCTACATCGACTGACAAATAGCCTGACTCGCAAGGGAGTGCTGCTACAACGACTGACAAATAGCCTGACTCGCAAGAGAGTGCTGCTACATCGACTGAGGGTTTGGTTTGGCCAGGCAGTCTATCAATTAAAAAAAAAAATTTAATTTTTAAATTTTTAAAACTTTTTCTGGTCTGGTTTATTAACGCGCTCTTTAAAACTACAGTTTATGGGAAATATTTTTTGATGCTACGCAAGAGACATGCAAGACTATATATATATATATATATATATATATATATATATATATATGTATATATATATATATATATATATATATATATATATATATATATATATATATATATATATATAATTTATATTTGTATATATATATATATATATATATATATATTTATATATATATATATATATATATATTTATATATATATATATATATATATATATATATATATATATTTATATATATATACATATATATATATATATATATATATATATATATATATATATATAATATATATATATATATATATATATATATATATCAGTGGTGTACACTGGATTTTTAGATGTTTGAGTTTTGACACTTACAGGCATTGTGCAAACTCTAAACTTTTGTATGTTCATGCTTATGTCAAATGAGAATGCTTTGCAAAGAGTTGCGGTGATTGGAGTTTGGGGACAAGAAAACCCCAATTTTTGGGCCCACCCAGCCCTTAAAGTGGGAGCAACAAGTTTATAAAATAATGTCTTCAGTATTTTTATCTAAGTTTGTATTCATCAACAAATCTAAAATTTCATACAATAACCTCTTTGTGTTTAGTTTTCATGACCCTACAATGTTTACAGCCCCCTCAAATTGAGGGGGGTGTAAACTTTATATGGTCATAGTTTTCAAAAAATAAGAGACTATTGCATGAAATTTGAAATTTATTGATGAATATAAACTTAGATAAAAATACTAAAGAAATTACTTTATAAACTCTTTAAGTTGTCAAATTGCAAATATGTTCGGAAAAAAAAATAGTTCCTTACCAGTATTTCAAAAGATATTTTAATTGGTCAATTATTAGCAGATCTAAAGCAATAAAAATGCCAAGAAAATCAGTATCACAAGAAAGTCAAATTGCGAATAGTTGGTGCATCCAAAGATAACACAATTCACAATACTGTGCATACTGCCGACTCATTGAAAATATGGTTTTAAAGAACACGTATTTCTCTTCTATTTTGGTCAACACAATCATCAGATTGGAACTCCATTGAAAATATTTGGTTATGCATGGACAAGAAATTATCAAGAGAGAATGTGGAAAGTGTTATGCAATTAAAACTTACATTGGAAAAAATTTGGGATGAAATTTCAAATGAATTGTGTTTGCATCTGATTGTATTTATGCCATAACTTATTTAAACCTGTATAAAAGCATGTGGAGAATATGCAAAATACTGGATTAAAGTGCGACCTTATCTTTTTTACACATTTTTTTTATTAAAGATTTTTGACCTGGATCTTGTTTTTAATTGATTTTGGTGCCAAACTGATATTTTTGAAATTAAAAAATTTATTAGAAGCAAAAATCACCCAAGTAATTACAAGCCCAAGCTTTCCATTGTTTAAAAAGTTTCGAGAAAACTAGAAAAATGTGAATGCCAAAGATATACAAATCTGTATAGAGAAGCTATTTTTTTTAAATGTTTCAGAAACTGATAAACTGCTAGATTTTTACTGATTTAAAAATCCTGAAGAAATACCAAGAAATGACTATCATAAATTAATTGAGCTTTCAATAATATTTCTTGGTGAAGATACAGAGAAATCTAAAATTCGTCCTCTATGTGCTATGCATCAAGTACTGTGGATGGCAAGAGCAATTTATTTGTTAAAAATATCATTACTAAGCTCCCAATTCAGAATTTCAAAAAATGATTATGCAGCTCTGTTGGTCTGTTGTATGTTTGTCTGTTTATTGTAACATTCAATGTTAAATTCTTGTTCCAGTGCCTCTTAGCAGTAAAGGCACCTTATCATGACTTATGCTTTTTGAAGTCCATGAAAGCTTACAAAACAATAGATAAAAGCATTTCCAAACTTTGCAGAAGTTTTTGACTTTATGGTATTTGATAGATGAAGTGTCTGTTTTGTCTTTACTCGATGACGATGTCGATCAAGAAACTAAAGTAAAAATGGTTGCTAAAGAAAACCCATCAGCGCACTATAAACATTACATTGCATCCAAAGAAAAGCTATGTGGCCCATTTTATGTTCTTTCTTATACGTAAATTATGCTTTTATTTTCTTCTAACATTTACCATTTGATTGATAACCGTTCTTTCCGTTTTAATTTCAGAGAAAAACATTAACGACTCCTCTGTCAAAAGCACGTTCTTAATTATTCAATTCAAATTAAATGACATTTTCTCAAGAAAAGTCTCTTTATGGTCGAATGGAGATTCATTCCTACAAGGTAAAAGGAACCTATTGACATTGATTTTAAATTAATGCTAGATTTTCATGGTTTAATCACTGTTGAAGATAAACAAAAGCAATTTTTATTACGTTGCATACAAGAACACAGAAACGTATATCCTAATTGTAAAAAGCAAACTTTAAAAAGGAAATTTAATGATTTAATGTGTCATTTACTATAAGTACATAATAAATATTATAAACGTGTTTTGTTTACTGAATATAAATAATGAATTTTACAATTTTCCTTTAGATCCATACTAATTTTTTTATCTTAAACATTGACATCATGTCAAAGAGAAGTTGGATTATCATCCGATCTCAATAATATTTAATATTTAGGTTTTTGGAGTCAAATTATAAAAAATAGAGGGGATGCATTTTGAAAATCAAATAAAAAATTTCACCTTTATAGCCTGGGAAACCCTAATATACATGTGTGTGTTTATATATATATATATATATATATATATATATATATATATATATATATATATATATATATATATATATATATATATATATATATATATATATATATATATATATATATATATATATATATATATATATATATATATATATATATATATATATATATATATATATATATATATATATATGTATTCTGGAGCTTTTTACATATATTTTTAAATCATCTAAAACATTTTGGAACCTTCCAGGACAATAGTCATTTAAATTTTTATTGTTCAAGAGCCTACAAACTAAGCGGGATAAAGTTGACAGGACAAAATTAAAGTGCTTTTGCCGTACTTAAGGTCCAAGACCAATGGCTAAAAATGGAAAAAAAAAAGATGTTTTTTTTTTTCCTTGATTAACTTTGAAACAAGGCAAAGCAAACCAGAAGTGATTATATTGAGCTTTGCAAACTGAAAACATTTTTTCTTGAAGAAAAGCCAGTGGATAAATTTGTTTTCTGCTATTCTAATGCTTTTGATATGTACAGACTTTTACTCAACAGAGTAAAAGTCTGCCATATGATTATTGAAGGTTTGTTCAGTTTGCCTTTTTAATTTATATCAACGAAAAGTTTAATTAAACAAATGCTACCAATGCACTAATCAATGACTTGGATCTGATTAAAGATTTCATGATCATCAATAACCAAATTGATAAGGTGGTGAATAAAAGAACATTGACTGACATTAAAAGGCATACTTGATACCTCACTAAAGAAAAAATACCACTAACTCTCTTCTCTTCCTAAAAATCGTTAAAAGGATCTAAAATTTTAAATCTCTGCCATCTCAAAATCTTGTGAAAACTAACAAATCTTCAATAATCTAACTTGTAAAGCCTGTCATGACTTCCAAGAACATCAATTTAAGCAAAAATTTTTCTTTGTTTTAATACTATCTTTGATCCTTTTCAAGTTTCTAGAAATGATTTTAATATGAGTTTAATATAATTTAATATGATTAATATAGTTTTTGTTTTAATATTAATATAATTAATATTTAAATATATAATTATATTTTAATAATAATTTAATGTAACAAATATAGTTAGTATAATTTAATATAATTTAATTATGATTTAATTAGCCCTTGCTATCACCAGATCAATAGGGAAAAATCTGTGCTTTCAGAAAGTAAACGTTTATCCTCCAAGTCTTTGGTGCACAAATGGCACAGCACATAGAGAAATTGCAATAATATATATAGTTTTTGATAATAGTATATTTGTTTTTAATAATATAGTTTTTGATAATAGTATATTTGTTTTTAATAATATAATTTTTGATAATAGTATATTTGCATCCACCTATTTTTTGTATAATAAAAGAGTTTATTTTGGTGATTTAAAAGTTATTAGATATTTTTATAGTATAATAAAACTTTAACTATATATGAGTAAATATATATATATATATATATATATATATATATATATATGTATGTATTGTATGTATGTATGTATATAAGTATATATATATATATATATATATATATATATATATATATATATATATATATATATAAGTATATATATATATATATATATATATATATATATATATATATATATATATATATATATATATATATATATATATATATAAGTATATATATATATATATATATATATATATATATATATATATATATATATATATATATATATATATATATATATATATATATATATGTATGTATGTATGTATGTATGTATGTATGTATATAAGTATAAATATATATATATATATATATATATATATATATATATATATATATATATATATATATATATATATATGATTGTAAGTTTGTATGTTTCCGGTAGCTGAACTTCGTTTTTATTTGTTATTAAATAATGATTATACATAAATTCCTAGGTTCGTTATTATATGGGTATCAAAACTACTTCAAAGCAATAGCTTCCATCATTTCATTATTGTTAGGGAAATTCAGTTACAGTCAGTTTCAAAATGCTAATGGTTTTCTAGGACCAATCTTCTTTTTTGGATTTAATGTTATGGTAAACTGGGTTGTTATGAATATTTTCCTGACTATACTAAACGACGCGTTTACTGATGTTCGTGAAGAACAACAGTTTCAACAAAACGAATATGAAATAGTAGACTTTATAACAGAGCATGTTAAAGGTTAATTATTTCTTTTTCAACTTTGAATAATACAGAAAAATTATTTTCAATAAGCCTAATTGAGTCATGTGCGTCGTGTCATCCGGTATTAATACTACTTTAAAGATAAAAAGAATTACACTTTGTTTTTGTTTGTTTTTTTTAACCTTATACACCACATTTAAAATGTCAGATATTAATTGCTATTAATGTCTTGATATTACTTTTAACAATTATACTTGTAAAAATTTGTTTTACAAGCCAACTAATTTGCAAAATTTGTTTTTAGCATGGCTGGGATGGAGCAGTCCAAACAACAATGTAGAAAATACACCAACAAATCAAAATCTGAGCTCTACCGTATCAGAAAATAATGACCACCATGATGTTACCCGCCATGATGTTACCCGCCTGCAGAAAGCAGTTTTAACCAATAATCAGAGTATCGCCAAGTTTGACGGTTGTTTACCTATTACTGATCAACAATGGAAAATGAAGATCAAGAGTCATAAAGTTTCAAGGCCCAACAAAGGTAATAGTGTAGTAAATGAAACTACATATTATTAATCGTAGTTGGAAATTTTGTCTCATTAAAAAAAAAAATATTAAATAATTAAGTAAAATCGAGATTTAAACGTAAAAACATGAATTTTTTCATTTAAAACATGAAACATAATTACTATTAAACATAATAATTCTATAAAATGTTTTAATTCATACTATACAGTGATAATTTGAAATATTTGATTATTTAATACGAAAATTAATTAGATCATAATAGTTCTTTACGTTATAGTGAATGGAAATTCTGATCCAGTTGAATCAGATTGTGCAATAAGTATTCGTATTTCTGAACTTGCAAAATACGATTATTTGTTAAATGAAAGATCGCTTGATGTTTACGCTAGCGAGATGCTGGGTAAGTTTATCTATTGCATGAATTTCGTCTACAAAGCAAATGAGGCTATGGGAGAAAAAAAGGATTTAAGAAAGCGACAATTTAAAAAGAAAATTTATAGTAATAGCAATCTTGTTATCATTAATTCGAAGAACTTAACAGAAAAGTTTTCAAAGATTTAATTTTATTAAACTGGGTTTTATGGTTGTGTATTTTTTTGTGTTGTTTAATAGGTTGTGTATGTTTCTTTGTTTATATAGGTTATGTGTATTTGTTTGTGCTGTTAATCGGTTTTGTGCTTTATGACGAAAAATTGCGATTTTTATTCAACTTTATTAAACTAAAACAATCGTTGAAAAACAATCTTTATTTGATATAATTAAAAATGGTAGTGCAGTTGTGATTTAGTTTTGTTTTTAATTTGTAAGTCAAAGTGTAATTATTATGTAATTTAAAAAATCTTTGAAGAACAATCTTTTGCTTGAAGAACAATCTTTCATATATGAAGTATATGATAATTCTTTGAATGCGCATATAAAAATTACTTTAAAGGTAATCGAAAATGGGTTTTATAAATTATAAAATTTATTTATAAACATGAATTTATAATTTTTTTTTTTTTTTTTTTTTATTAAGATAAGATTTTTTTTTTAGAATAAACCATCTTACACACTTTTTTTGAAACTTAAAAAGGTTGTAAAATATGAATTAACAGCTAATAGAAGAGTTTTTCATTGATTCTTTTTGACACAGCAGTATGAAGAAATATACCAAGAGCAATATTTTTAATTTAAAACGAAAAAATTCACAAAATTTTTAACTTGCCAAAAAAAAAAACAACTCTCTAAATCTCTAAATCATTAATAAGACTTTTGATTCATTAATTTACTGACAGATATATAGAATATAAAACTAGACGAAAAATATAATTTAAGGGAATAGAATCTAAAACTTTTTAATCTTTATATATCTTGAATTATTTTAATGAAAGACTTCCATTGTGTATCAAGAATCATTGTTTCTTATCAAACCCATCTCATTACTATCTAACTCTTCATACCATTGGTCATCTCTCTTATCCACTCTTCATACCATTGGTCAATCTCATTATCTTACTCTTCATACCATTGGTCATCGTCATCAGAGACGTCATTATCACTTAAGTCATTTTTCTTTTTTGTAAATGACAAAAACAGCAATATAATAGCGCATAGTTAGAATAGTTTTGATAAACACTATTAAAAAGATTTCCATCAGGAAGCTCGATATATTATAATCAAGATTTAACTTGCAATCTTTAAGGTTTTATACAGCAATATATTATATTGCTTTATAAAATAATGTTGTAATTTAAAAAGTTGCTTTATATAATATATTTATATTGCAACCTTTAAGCTTTTATACAGCTATTAAAGTCGTCCTTTCAAAAAAAATATTTTTTTGTTATTCACAGCTACTTAACACAAGTTAGTGTAAGAATTTTCGTCTAGAGTTATTAAACAAGCGGGTCTTCGTAAACGGACGTGTCGGAATTTTTTTTAAAAAAAAAGTCTATAGTTTTTGTCTTTTAAGGCCAATTTCACTCAATTTTTTTTTGTTTTTAGTTTTGAGAAAGTGTTTTTTATTGTTGATAATAAGTAAAAATTGATAAAATGGGAGGGAGAGGAGAACGGTGAATAAGCTCGGGACGGATAAGAAAGTTTTCCGAAAATTATTAAACGTCCCCTTCCTTATATTAAACACCTAAGAGCAAAGAAAAACAAGTTTTAGCCATAAAAAACCATCTTTTTTTTAATATTCCAAAAACATAGTGTATATTATTACATATCTATTAATTGGAGTTTTTATAGTTAGAGTTGTGCTGCTAAACTAATCGTGTCAATACTTTTCTCCAATTAAAAAAAATTTACTGCAAAATATTTAGTAAAAACAATTTTAGGTGATTCAATCTTGGTTATAAGACAAGTCATCTTATATCTGACTAGGTTTTTTTCTTGACTGATTTTTGTTTGTTTTTTAACCTCAGACGATCCAAAATTTTATTGTTGAATTTCGAAATAAGATAAACCATTAAGTTTATGGATGGCTAAAATGTATATGAGCAATTTTGTACTTGACAATTGAACCATTTAAATAAATGAAATCACGTTCTCAGGTTTCGGAACGTTGTTCAGATGGTACAAACCACTGATTTTCCTTTTTTTTATAAAGTTTTGATATAAATTTTGTTCAGTTTACTTTTTATAATTCATCGCCATTCAGTAAACTCAAACAAAGTATAAAATTAACCATGTACAAGCAAGAAGAAATTTTAAACGAAAAGCTAGTTAATTCAAATGTAAAAAATGACAACTCAAAAAAAATTTTTTGTGTGCGTGTTTGTGTGTCAGACCAAATGCATTCTTGTATAAATTATATATGAAGCAAGTATCTTAGCAGAAATTACAATAACTGATAACTATGTGATAAGGTTTATCTTTGTTAGCCAAATTAGCTAATAAAATAAACTTTAATTAGGCTAAACTTTTTAAGAATGAGGTTAGCTTCAGATATAAAATGTAGTTGTTTGAAAATTCTTTCATGCTATACCTTTTCAAATCAAATCTACCAAGTATTTATATTGCATTGCATACGTTATAGTCATGTTGGATTGTGAAAAACAAGAGTTTGTAATCAACGGTTCAAATCTTTTTTAGAATATTGTTCGTTGATATTATTGATTTAAACTATATCACGTTTTGTAAAGCATGACTAGTACATAAGTCAGAGCTTGCACCCGTAGCTCAGTGTTTAGCGCGCTTGCCTCAGAAACTAGAGATCTGTGGTTCAACGCCACCTTTGGGCAAGTTTTATAAAATCGGTAAGTAAATCGGTTAATTTCTCAAGAGAGACTTGCGGTGGAGGAGTTCTTATTTATGTAAAAAAAAGTATTGTACATTATGTTAGGAATGATTTAAGTGTGTCTGACGGCGACAAAGAAATTTTAACTTTTGAAATTCTTAAAAATTAATCTAAAAACATTTTACTGAGCTGTTGCTATAGGCCTCCGAATGGTGTGGCTGAGAACATGAACATGTATTTTGAGGAAAACCTTTTCAAAAAAGGCTTCCTTGAAAAAAAATATATATTTTAGGGGATTTCAATATGAATTGCTTCCACTACTTTACGGACATTAAAGTTAAAAAATTTTATGATTCAATTCCTTTGATAAATCGCCCGACTAGAGTAAATCCAAAATCGGCTACTCTAATTGATAACATTCTAACAACTGATATTTTTAACAGTGATTTAAATAAAGGTATTTTAAAAACAGACATGTCTAATCTATATTCGTCTAGTTTTTTTTTCCCCACCCATCAACCAATTTTTCAAGTCTTCTGTTTTGTTTCCTTGCTCTATAACTCTATTCTTTGTTTTCTAGTAACTCCCAACTTAGTAATAGTTGCTTGCAGCCTTGTTGGAAGTGAATTAGAATAAAAAAAAAAAGATAGGGATTGGTCTCCAGAAATTTGAAATTTATTTACCGAATCAAATGATAAAAAAATAAAGTGGGATACCGAATACTATGTAAAACTTATGTATTTAACTGTTATCTAAAATTATTCGATTACCAGCGAAGTATATCGTATGTACAGAATTTTACAATTTTATAAAAAGGAAACATGTTGTTTAAAAGTTTTGAAAAAGCTGGGTTTTCTTTTTTTTTCATATCAAAATTTGTGCTCTTTTAAGGATTTTGGTTTGGGAGGGGATGCAAACGGTCATATTTTTATGTTACGTCATTGTTTTACTAATAACAACAGTAAGTTTTAGTTTTTTACTACTTTATTATTATACAAAAAGAATAGAAAAAAAGAGTATAGCAAGTAAATGTTCTTATAATTGAAAGAGTGGTAAAAGTAGTAGAGACTTAGTCCGAAAAGAATTTAAAATACGTTTAAGATAAAAAATAAATAAACAAGATATCACAAACACCTAAATGCGTAAATGTATTTGGTGTAGTTTTCTCCAAACAATTTAAACAAGCAAGTGTAACTTTTAAACAAGTAAGTGTAACTTTTAAACTTAAAAGTTGCACTTAACACATACTTTTAAAATATGAGCTATGAGCAATACTTTTAAAATGTAAAGCGTAGTGTGACATCAAAGACCTAAATATAATTGCTTCTGGTTTTTATCCAAATTTTAAATTTTTTTAAACTTTTTAAATATTTAAAGTTTTTTAATATTTAAAAATAAATAAAAAGTTATACTACTTAAAATACATTTACGTAACTTTAAATCTTGAAATGAATGAATTGTTCAAGTGAAAACATCGCGTGTTTTTAAATTTAGAAATATGCCTCATAGTTTTTAAAACTTATATAACTTTTAAAACTTATAAAAAATATATTAGCTAGAAATCAAATCCATTTTTGAGTTGGATTAAATGCGTAGAAACTTTGTCTTTTTTTTTTTTGAATTTGACTTCATTTCATAACACCATTTTCGTGTAATATGCTTAAATTACTCAGTGCTTTTCATTGAAATTAACTAGTTTAAAGTCCTAAAATTCGCAAATTCGCTACTTTTTTAATGTGTTTGTAAGATAAAATTTTGGGTGCCCAAATATCTAACTGGATTATGAGTAGTGATCCATAAAAATTGTTTATTTGCAAAAATTTCGGACCTGCATGATTATTCATGAAAATATTCCGATTTTCGCGTAAGGTGCTCGTAATACCTTAATCTACTTTATTTTAAAGTTTTATATAATAAATCAATCAATATTTAAATATTTTTAAGTTTTTAGATTTGAGAAATTGACTGCATAAATAGCGATAGGCGCAGTGGAGTAAACTTATATCGAATGAGGGTATATATTACAAACATGTCCTTCTAGAAATACTCTTTCTAAAATACTTTTTATTTTTAGGATTTTTTTCTAGAAATACTATATAGTATTTCTAAAAGGCCATGATTACAAATAACACCTGTAGGCATTTTGTAAGTTGAAAACGTAAAAAAAGAAACGACGCTAAAACACATAAAACCTCAATTTAAACCCTTAAAACATTTTAAATTTAATTAAAACCTTCTTAAACTTTTTAAACTCAATTTAAATCTTTTTTAAACTTTTAAAAGTTTTAAACTTTAATTTAATAAAATTTAGTAAATATACTTAGTAATTTTATAAAAATTTATTTAATTATATAAAAATTTATAAAAATAAATATATTAGTAATAAAAAAAATCGTTAACATACTTAGTAAATAAACTTTTGAACGTTTAAAACTTTAAAACTTTTAAAATTTTATTAGAAAAAAGTTAAAACGGGCCGTCTTAAAACGGAAGGAGATAAATGGCATTCTAATCCTGTCGTTAAGGCTTCGTTTATTAACCATTACTTAGTTTAAATGCGGTTTTTTTAATCATATCTAAACATCTCGATGCCTACAGACGATGATAGTGATTAATAGGTAAAGTTCAAAAATAAGATTTTGTATCTGCTTTAAACTCGCTTTCATTTTTTTTTAATTTTAAATTTATACTTCTAGACTTTGG